TTAATATTCTCAGGCCCATCATTACTTCCAAGCCCTCGCCATCCATCCAACTCGTCGATGCTCGATGTTTTCCTTCGGCAATGCACCTATGGGGTCCCATGGGATATAGTTTCCCGCCCGGAAAAATAAGATGTTTCCAGCAAGTCACATTTCTCGTATTCTTTTGTTATGACTATTGTCACGGTGTCTGTAAGTTTCCCCGAGACGAACACTTTTACCTCTTGAACGCACGTGAACAGTCTTAGGTTAACGCGCGAAATAAATTCTCAATTCCGCAATTTTTTATCGATTTGCCTTTTTAACGTCTCTTTCTAAAGAGGATAAAATTATCTAGGGCTTTATCTTTTCAGAATTTTCGATTCCCGTTTTGGTTCAATTTTATGACAAAGATGTAATAACTGTGCCGAGTTGCGACATTGGGTTGAGTCCTATTAGCATAAATCGACATCTTTCTAGATGCGGATCATCATTGAAAAAGTCGCGAAAGGCCCTCTCTTCCTTGACGGTTATCTAGCTTTTCGAGATAACGAAAGTACCGAGGAGTGGAAAGAAAGTCGTATCGGCGGGTTCGGAGAAAAGTTTAATTCGACCGAATCGCATCACCGTAAAAATGAATGAACAGAAAAGCGTTAAGAAGTTCCGGCACCCGAAGGGTCCTATTGGCATGAACCGACATCTTTCGTGTTGCGGATCGTTATTGAAAAAGTCGGGGAAGGGCCTCTCTTCCTTGACAGTTATCCAGCTTCTCGAGATAACGAAAGTACCGAGGAGTGGAAAGAAAGTAGTCGTATCAGAGGGTTCGGAGAAAAGTTCAATTAAAAAGTTCGGTTTCGACCTCGCCAAGAGGCTCGGGTTTAATATTCGGTGTAATTGTCAAAGTTTCTTATTGCTCGAACTGCATCGAAGTCGATCTTGCACGAAGCCGAGTGTCGGTTGTTTGCTCTTGAATAAGTTATCCGGGAAACTTAGCGTATGTACTCCGTGCCGGAATTTCGAGCTTCCTTTATGGACTATTTTATCATCTTCCGCATAAATTATCCCGGGACAACTTGGATAGAAAATGAGATATTCGTATACGTACTATTGGTTTAAATTAGACGTTTCTTTCGGAGGGCGTGATAAGTTTTTGAATTATGCGACTTTCGGTTTGTTTAGATACATGTTCAGAGTAAATGGAGTAAATAGATTGGTAAAATAAAACCTTGGGATAGACTGCGACATTCTTTCCAGACGTTTTAGTTTGTAACGTATCGTTATGAATTAAATGTAACAATTAATTTCGTTGAACGCTTAATATGCGCGAAAAAGTTCCGATCTGGAGGACTTTGTTAAAGTTTTCATTATTTCAATAAGGTATTCGAAAAAAAATATGGTCTGTCCAATATAGCGGGTCAAGCTAAAGTTTATACATAACGATAGATGAGCGTTTCTCTTCTATACCACTTATGTATGCATTTGGCACGAAACTCTACTGAGTTTCTTGACAAGTCTTTTATTAAAACGTTTAATGTATCCGCAGAAGGCGCTTAATACGCGAAAGTCTATGACAGCGGACTAAATTATGTTTGTCCATCTAAAGTTAATTATTCTAGACTAGAACTTGAATGTACTAAACTAATTGCCTACACACCGATTACATTTGAATCTCAACCATAGACGTCGACGTTAACCCTGAACTTTATCACGAGTTTAGAAATATCAAGCTAAGATATTTTTTAGAGTCCGTCAAATGGTTTCAAAAAGTTGCCCGATAATAATTGTTTGTTATAAACTATTACAAAAACGTCGACGTGTAGAGTTTCGGCTACTCTAGTCAGTTCTATCCAGCACTGTCCTATTGGATCAATTACGTTGTCCTATTACATTAATTATATTAATATAATATTCCTATTACATTAAACAATACCCTTGAAGATTAACTTTCGGAGGAAACCATATTTTTGAAAGAAAAATAAAACGTTCATGTCCACGTGTACGTGTCACCGTCAGAGCTGGGGCAGACTTTACTCTGTGAAAAAATCTGGATTAAATTTATTCGAAAGTGTTAACGACAATCATCAAGCACGGACTCATTGTTGAATTCCAAAGAAGGTCTGTGGAATTTAATATACGTCTGCGCTTGACGATACGTCTCGTGAAAATTATTTAGCATATTAAATTCGATGTGAAAATGCTTAACGGGGTGGAGGCAAATGTGACGAATGAAAATCATGCGAAGGTATGTTCGCTTCCTTTCGACGAGGTTATTCGGGTGAATTTCTGCGAGTATTCGATATTTCCCGTGAACTCATGGGTGCCGAATAGAAATACGATTCGATGCGAAAATTGGCCGGCAAACGAGTCGGAAATTCCCCCGCGAATGAGGACAATTCCCACGCGAGTGGAGAGCGGGAGAAGATATTTTTGAATTTCGTTTCACTCTTCCCTTTGAATAAATAAATGAATCCTTCGGGTTAATAGCAGCACACCACTGCAACGCCCAGCTGGCAAAGCATGCAGTTTTATCAGTCTCAACTGTCAACCCTTTCAGCTTGAACACACGTCTCGAGCAGTGGAGCTAAAGGAAACCGGACATACGATGAACATCGGGACACATAGATTTAGGGGATCAAGATTCAAATGTGCTGGATCATTCCTGTTGTACGAGGACCAAAAATCATCGACTAAAAACACGCGATTACTCGAGCACATTCCTCTTTTCTCAATTTTATGGCGAATTTCTGAGAGCATCGCGTGCAACACCTAGAAACGGTGGGAATAAATATACTAGAGTTTGTAAAAAAAAAAGGTTTATTACTTTCGACGAGGGGCTATTTACTTAGAGATCCGTAAAAACGATTTTCTTCTTTGAGAGCCGATTGCCTTTGATTTCATATGATAAACGATGCGATAATTTGATATAAAAAAAATGGAAAAATGATCTTACCGAGTAGTTGCCGCCATTTCCCTGATTGTCATTGACCGATTCGAATTTATGAACTACACCCCGGAAACGTGGTGCCTTGTACAACAGATTTTCGATTCGCTAAACACTAAGAACGTAGACAATTAAATCCGAGGTATTCGTCACAGGCCGCTAAGTACTTTCGCCTTTCGATAAATTTATCTTCGACGTATTAAAAACTTCTCCATCTTTTCTACCGTTTCGAAAATGAGAGTTAAAATTCGGTTCGGTTCGACCATTTCATTGGAAAAAGTGTCTTATTCGATCGAATTGACATATTTGAGGGGGGTTTCACTTCACCTTAAAGAGTCCATCTCAAACGGATGCAAATGAATCGCGGAAGAGAAGTAAACGCAAGACGTCCTACTTAGCGACCATTTTTTTTGCAGAGCGTGTGTTCCAACTGAATCCATTCTCTGTGAAACTTCGCAAATAAATCGGAAATACCGAGTGGAAAGTAAAGGTGAGAAAAAAAAAGAAGAATCGACGGAAATCGAAAAGTCAAACGGAGCACAGATACAGGGGCTCTTAGACAGGGTACACTTTACCGGGGTATGTAAGCAAAACTCGAAAACGTGTAATTACGAAAACTCCAAACTCTACTGTATGGGAATGGCGGATTATCGGATGGCGGTGATACTGATCGATGATGGGAAAGGGCGAGGTATCGACTCGAATCGTTTCGGCGAAAGCTTTGCTTCGCTGTTATCACATTTTTTTACAACCTTTCCCAATTTTGCAGTCTATGCTTTTCTGCTTTTAGTGAAAAGGGGTACCCAAAGGTGCATTGGTCGGAGAAAACGGTCGCCTTTCGTCCTTGTCGATTTTTGCTCGCAGAACGCAATCGATGGGGATCGATTGGATCGAAGCTCCGATCAATGGGTCCCATCGATCCCCGATCTATGATTCGCGAGACGATTCATCGCACGAAGGACGAAAAACGCCGCCGATTGTCGAGCAAGGTCTTCGAAGGCGGTTTTTGGTGATTTTATGGTGGTTGATTGGTGGTGACGGTGACGGTGAGAGAGATACAGGGTCGACTTCGTGTCTTATTTGTTGATAATCAATGATGCGCGACCAGAATGTCGAATTTTACCGCGCTGTCAGTTTTTTTCAACTACACTTGCTGGGACGAAAAATAAAATCACGATATCTTGCCAATAAGGTCAAACGAAGCTCGTTGCGGGTCAATGGTGAGAAAATGACGCGAGAAAATCGAAGCCCTCTGCAATTGCATTATCCAATAAACACAACCTAGTGAACCGTATTTTGCACGTTTCAAGGTCTGCCTTTCCACGTGTAATTCAACGTCCATATTACGTCAATTTTACGGTTAAACTACTGCTACAATCGTGTAACATGAAGGTTGTTTAAACATTTGTCTTTAAAGACTTAGGAGGGAGTACGTATCAACGCGTTTATAAAATACACATTTTTAGAATACACAGTTCTCCTCAGCTAGGAACAAACGTACCGAAAACCTAAACAAAAAATCATCGTTTCTTATAAACGGCTGATTAATTTAGAGAAGAAAAAATCTGCTTGGTGAACCTTTATTTTCTGTTTCCTACACTATATTTCCACTACGTTTGCGAGTATTAATCGTGCATTCCACTATTTTGTGTTCATTGAGTTTCCGCAAGTGAGAGGTCGTCGATTTTTCCCGTTCCGATTTTTCGTGCAATTTTTGAACGCATCGCGAGATGCTGCGACAAGTATCCGATCGCGAGGGGCTATTCACTTGGAAATCAGTGAAAACGATTTTTACCTTTGAGAGTCGATTGCTTTTTATTTAATTTGCTACACATCAATGCAATTCGCTAACAAGGGACGTTCGGCCATAAAATTGCGAAAGTGTTAGGTGATTTCCACGTTACAACGTGATTTCCACGATTTTCCGAGTGAATATCCTCTCCGACGAAGTGGCGTCGATCTTCAGGGTCGATTACCAACAACAAGACAACCCAGTTCTGTGGACAAGGGTAAGACACTATCGTGTTGGGGTCACTGGGGTCGGGCGAAGTTCAAAAGGGCGTTTTAAAGACCTGGGCCCTACCTTGAAGAGCTGCACGCCAATGACAGCGAACACGAACTGCAGGAGGCTGGTGACGAGGACTATGTTGCCGATAGTCTTTACCGCTACGATGACGCACTGTACTACGTGCTGGGTTTCAAAATTAATCACAAGATATGTAGATTTCGTAAGAACCTCTACACCCTTTTCCCAGCGCGAAAGAACATCACCTCTTTTCTCGCTAGGCCACCTTCTTTCAAGTTCCGAACACTTCATAGGGGGAACTTATCTCGGATACGGAACCTCGAGAAGGCCAGGCTTTGATCGAAAATAATGGCTCCTCTGGGAGGAATCGCTAACTCCGCAGGAAGGGAGAAAAGTCCGAGGCAACGGCGATGGATTTTCCCGAAGCCCAATCTTCGCCATTTAAGATCATATGAAAGGGTCATTCTATATATACAAAACGTCAAAATATTGATGAAACTTTTGTTCGAACTGTATGCACCGAATTGGTAGAAACTTCAGCATGGGATTATGGAGGTTCTAAGGAAGAACGTGGTGCTTATGAAATTTCATTAAACAAAAATATGTATAATCTTGGTTTTAGTTTGGAATAGATAAACAATTTTTTTTAATCGAAAATGAAACTTCGTGAGCACCACGTTCTTTCTTAGGGTCTCCGTAATCACGTGCTGAGGTTCGAAATGATTCGGTGCATCCCTTTTGAAGAAAAGTTTTATCACTATTTTGACGGTTTATATATGTAGAATATCCCTTTCATATCACCTTAAATATTGTCTCGAGTGAACGGATCAGATCGAGCCTCCTCGAGGGTCTTGCTTTCAGGGAAAGCTCTTCGAGCTTTCCGACTACGACGGGCACATGAGACCGCGTTTATGCGCCGATTACGTCAAGTCCGGCATCTTTTCGATACATTTCCTCTTTTGTTACGGACATGTTACAAGAGTAGCAAAGTGGGACCTATTGTGTGGTCGGTGAGTCAATTTGGGGTCCTTTGTACAGCGAGGAGGGTTTACTGCAAAGTGTTACATGAGACCCTAGGTCTGGCGTTTAGCGGCAAACTACTACTTACGGAATCGGGTAAAAGCACCGAATGGGACGTCAGTTTTTACCCATTAAATCGGACTCTGCGTTGACGCTTAAGGGGATGCGAAAATGGCATCAAAGAGTTCTCTTTCATGAAACTTTTCTCCGAACTGGGTGTATAAAATCGATTCAAACTTTACAAAGTGAACTTGGAGACTATAAGGAAGGTCCCGACCCCAATAAAACTTTATTTTTCATTTAAAAAATGTGAAAACATCTTTATACAAATAAAAAAAAAAGAAATTGAAATTTCATGGTTGGCGGGCCATATTTATGCTACAAAGTTTTAAACGTTTCGGTACACCCAGTTCGAAGAATGGTTTCATAAACGAGAACTCTTTGACGTCACTTTCACATCGTCTTAAGGGGAGTCGTGTCGAAGATCGAAGAACTCGGGGACGTTTCTTGGGTAGCAAGTTACCGAGATCGCGTGAAAGCGATAGGGGTACTTTTCGTTATGGAGAATTTCCAAGTAGGGTGTCGCTGTTCGGCTGTTAAATAATTTAGACTGTAAGGAAGGTGTAGAGAGAATTACCTTTAAGCCCTTGGCCCGATTAATGGCGCGCAGTGGTCTCAGCACTCGGAGGACCCTGAGGATCTTCACCACGGAGATGGCACCGGAACTGAATCAGACAAAAGATTTCGTTAGATGACATTTTGCGTATTCGTATTTGCTCATCGCATCATCTTAAGAAAGTTACCTGAAGAACATGGAGACCAAGGAGACGCAGACGACAAGGAGATCCAGATTGTTGAAGGCCGATCGGCAGAAGGCTCCCTCGTGAATGATGAACCCATAGGAAATCATCTTCAGGCAGATCTCCACGGTGAATACCGTCGTGAAGAAGTAGTCGAAATAATTTAAAATCTGCGCAAAATACGAAAGAGGAGCTTAGAAGGAATAAGATACAAACTCCAGCAATTTTCCCTCGATTACCATGTTTCTGTAGGATCCTGCATTGAGAGGATCTTCTGCAGCAAGCATCGCCGACGAGATCATGATACACGCCAAGATGACATTACCGAAGTAACTGTGATTGCACAGCCAATGGCAGAAAACTCGAAATCTGAAATCGATACAATAGCCATTGGCTCGACGGACTCGGAGGACTTTCTTTTCACCTTCCATGATTTAAGATTATTCCTTATTTGCCGTACTATACCGATTAGTTTGTGAGAAGAGGAAGAAAGCGGAACCAGCCGGTATCGGCTGCTTCTTCGTCGCCATATTGAATTCCGACATTCTTCGAGGCCTCGCCGAGACTTCACCGTCCATGCCGTCGTCTTTAACAGAAATGCAACATATATGATTTAATGCTAATTATTATCTTAACATCTACAATGAAGTACGATAGAATTATTCTGAATTTACCGTGAATTGCCGAACCGTCCTCATCCTCCCCCTCTAAATCCTCTTCATCGGATTCTATGTTGAGTCGTACCTTTGCGTGGCTGTTCATGTCTTCGCCCTTTTCCGACCTGAGAAGTTTAAACCAAATCTTAAAACCTTCTTTCATATTGTGTAGCATTTGAAATCTCACCAATGCGGAGAACATTTACGAGATTTTCTTATAGGTACACGCAAGAAGATATGTCCCCGAATTAATAAAACCATTGTCCGTCCGACCATCGAAGACGGTTATTAAACGCACAACCGAATATGTGGTAGACATGAAATTCTTTGATTAATAACTTTCAATCGTTTGCTTCAAATATTGCGGTAGATTACGCTACAACCAAGCGTTGTGCCAGCGTGACTTACGCTTCGGTGTCCAAGGCCGCTTCATAGTCTTCCATGGTCTCATTGGGATCCTGTTCCAGATCCGTTCCTCCACCTTCGTCTTCACCTCCGGTTCCTTCTCCTCCATCGTCTCCACCTTCGCCGCTGACCTCGTCGGGAGGAGGCGAGCCGCTGTTCGATTTGTTCTTCCCCGCCTAGAAATTCATTCAAACGATCATGTCGAGCCTCTTTCGTGACTCCAGTCCTCGCAGAAATCAAGGGAACTCCTGACCCAAACAAAGATCGAGTCATTCTCATCGACCGTGCTGAAAATAAACGAGTTCGAAGCCTTCTCTCCCTTCCGTTCTTCCCATTCACTTCCACCTGGTGCGTTCGCAAGCTGGCGAACATGGAAGATCCACGTGCATTACGATGCAAGAGATCACTTTACATATCGTACCCAGGGCTTCGAGAACATGACGAGCTGAAGGGAGGCGAGAGACACCTCGATACCTCGAAGAACCCTCACCTGTGTACTCGTGCAACGTGCGTGCACTTTCAATCGTTAAAGGGGATGTGTCGCAACATGCCCCGTTTCAGAGAAAGACAACCAAGAGGTAGCAATTGTCTATCGATTCCATTTTTCCGATAAATAATTCCCTCGAGAATAATCGCATAGAAATTCGATATCGCTTCTAAAGCGCATACTACCCTGTCACCGAAGCTGAGTCCAGGGTTCAACAGGATATTTTCTTGTGGCACTCATGAAATTTCAATTTATAAACTATTTGTTTATAGGTATTTAAAACATTTTTTTTATAAACAATGAAATTTCATGGGGGTCAGGACCTTCTTTATAACCTCTGTAACCACGTTGTGAAGTTTGAAACGATTTGGTATACTCAGGTCGGAGAAAAGTTTCATGAACGATTGACCCCTTCGATGCCGCCTTCGCATCCCCTTAATACGTTCATTTCGTTGCAAAAAATATCCTTACCCCTTCTTCGGCTTCCTTCTCGATGGCGGTCAAAGACTCGGCATCGGCCAAGTTGTCGACGGCGATGGCCAAGAAGACGTTCAAGAGGATATCTGTATTATCGTGTAATTAAGGAAATTTGTAGTAGCGTATTTACCTGTACGTATGAAAATAACGATATTTTAGCCCGGAAAAGGATACAGTTTCCGCAGATAAAGAGAATGATAAAGTAGACACACGCCAGGACCCCGGGACTGGAAACTCCGCCATAAGCTCGTATTCCTTCGTACATTACGGCGTTCCAATCCTCGCCGGTTAAGATCTACACGTGAGAAGTAAATATAAATATTTAACGTACTACATATTAATTATCCCGATTACAATACGTACTTGAAACACGGTTAAAAGACTCTGCCAAAAGCTGTCGAAATTGCTGCGTGGCTTATCCTGCAAGTCGCTGACGTTAAACTTCCCCCCGAAGACCTGAGATTCAAAGACGAGAGTTGAAGGACGATTTTAAATTCGAATCCTTTGTTCGTAAGTCCATTGTACCTGCATGCCCAAGAGGGCGAAGATAACGATGAAGAGAAACAATAGGAGTAATAAGGAGGCGATCGACTGAATCGAATTCAGCAACGAAGCCACTAGGTTCGATAGCGACCTCCAGTATCTGAAAAGGGAAGACGAGGGAGTAATTTATTTTTCCGTTAAGGGGGTGTGAAAGTGGCATCTGAGAGGTCAATAGTTCATGCTACATTTCTCCGAACTGGGTGTACCGAATTGTTTCGAACTTAACAACGTGGTTACAGAGGTTATAAAGAAAGTCCTGACCACTATGAAATTTTTTTTTTTTTTTTATAAACAATTTTTAAAATATCTATAAACAGATTATTAAAAACTTGAAATTTCGTGGGAGTCAGGATCTTCCTTATAGCCTTCATGTTCACATTGGAAAGTTTAAAACGACTCGGTACACTTGGTTCGGAGAAAAGTTTCATAAACGAGACCTCTTTGACTCCACTTTTCCATCACCTTAATGGAAAGTTCAACAATGAAACGCGCGTTTTTTTAATAGTAAACCGAGGGGGTATTCGCTCAGGAAATCGTGAATCTTAACACTCGAAATCATGTGGAAATCGTTAGAAATCATCAAAACATTGCCTCAATTTTAAGGCGAAAGTCATTTGTTACCTAATCGTATTGTCGTTTATCATATGAAATCAAAGGCGATCGGTTCTCGAAGAAGAAAATCATTTTCACTGATTTCCGAGTGAACAGCTCCTCGTAGGAAATGATAAAGGGCGACCCGATTTCAGATGTCACTCACTTGGTCACTTTGAATACCCGAAGAAGTCTAACACAACGCAGGACGGAGACTCCTAAAGGCGGCATTATGTTCGTGTTGGTCAGGATCATCTCGCTGATGGAACCGATCACGACGAAGCAGTCGAACCGATTAAACAATGACACGAAGTAACCCTGAGGAAGTCGGCACGTATCTCTTAGAGGTCTCGCTAGCCTCATATGCCAATTACATTAATAGACATGTGAGAACTGTCAAGAAATGTTACGTCCGTTCTTGAGGAATCTTTCGCGCGTTAGAACATACCTGAAACCCCAGACTGTACATCTTCAGCATCATCTCCATGGAGAAGAGAGCGATGAAGAACACGTTTGTGACTTCTGCAATGGGAACGATAATTTGCTCGTCGTGGAGACAATTATTTGTACGAAATCTGCAAAACGAGGAGTCGAGTACCGACCTTGAAATTGGTCCAACCATTTTGGTTGCTTGTAATGTTCGGTAGCCAATACCACCGTGTTCAGAAACACCAGAACGATGATCAGCCAGTAAAACACTTGGGACTTTACGGCTTTTCTACATGCTCTTCTCATTCGGCGATTCGCTCTGCGAAAGGGATCAACGATGTCATTTACTTCGATACGCGTAACGAGAAATTAAATACAGGTTCCTCTCGTTAGGATTCCCAAAAATTATTAGCTGGTCCAGAAAATTATTGCAGATTTTCCCTTGTAAAATTTGACGCTTTGTTATAAAACAAAATTATTTTTTATCCATGTTCGTATACCATTTTAGGGCGCTGACTGAGCTCTATATGTTTATAATAGTAATTGTATTTGAAATATTACTTCATGTATAATTTAAATTATTTAATCATAGACAGAAAAGAATGGTACATGACATGGATATAAAAGAAGAGCAACTTTATCGGAAAACAAAGTATTACATTTTGAATAACAAAAACCTCAACAACTTTTTGGACAACTTACTAATTTATGCCCAGCAATTACCTATCGAGATCTCGTTTTTTCCGTTTCCAGAAAGACTCCTGCTGAACTCCTTCGTCGTCTCCCTCCAACTGGTCCGTACTTTCCATCTCGTTCTGCTGCTTGGCTGGAAAATGGATCTAAACGTCAGACTCTGCTCGTAACGTATCGTGGTCTCGACTTATCGCAGTCGTCTTACATTTCCCGTCCTGTTGCTGAGGTTCGTCCGCTTCCGGTTCTATGTCCTCGGCCTGAGTTATCCAGTCCAAGTAGCCTTTGAGGTCGTCCTCGATTTGCTGCTTCTCCCTCAGCTTGTGGAAGTCACCTCGAGCCTTCGCTTTTTCTCTTTCCTTGGAGAACTCTCTAAGCGGGAACGTGCCAATTGCATCGTCAAAGATCACAGGACCGCGTATGCGTGTAATTGGGTCTCCGGACGACCGAAGATCGAATTAAGCCCGTTTGTGACCCGTTGGACGCTTAAGGCGAGGTGAAAGTGGCCTCGAAGAGTTCTCGTTCATGAAACTTTTCTCCAAACTGGGTGCACTGGATCGATTCAAACCTTACAATACAGATATGGAGGCTACAAGGAATGTCCTGGAACTCATGAAATTTCAATTTTTGAATTTCTTCATAGATATTTTAGAAATTGTCCACAAAAAATGAACATCCTTGGGTGTCAGGATTTTCCTGATAGCCTCTATGTCCATGCTGTGAAGTTTGAAAGGAATCGGTACCCCTGTTTTGAGAAAAGTTTCATGAACGATGGAACTCTCGGACGCCACTTTCACATCTCTTTAGAAGAGATGTCATTTTTATTTTTAGCCTCCCTTTTGCCCTTTCAAATCCGTTTTTCTCACGCCGTTTTCACTAGGCAAGTAACGATTAGCGATCACATGCATAACACTTTTGTGCCTCCGCTGATTCTCCACGCAAAAGTGTTATAATTGTCGCCGACCTCTACTACTCTCTCTTACTCATAGGTGCCATAGAATTTTAGTACCATTTTCCAATCTGACATCATCTCACGTGTTGAGTTTCTGACAACTTACCCGGACAACACACCGAGAATCAGGTTCATGACAAAAAAAGCCCCAAGGATGACCATCGAGATGAAGTATATCCACTGCCAGCTGCTGCCCATCGCATCTTCGATCTGAAGACCGACACGTCCGTTTAACGTGGATCCAGATGCAGAAGTAATAGACACGAACGAAAGGGGGAGAGAAATGAATTCCAAAGAAGTCTCACGTCGTAAAGCACGTCCGTCCACCCTTCCAGGGTGACGCACTGGAAGACAGTCAACATGGCGAGTCCGAAGTTGTCGAAGTTGGTGATGCCCCAGTTTGGACCCTCCCAGAATTGGTGGCTGCAGTAATATTCCGGGCCAAGAGATTCGCAGGGAAACCCGCCGGAACCGCAAGGATGAGGGTCGTCCATCATTTGATCTGAAAGCAGCGAGAAAACCTTGGATTCTTCGAGGACCCAAACCACGTCCTCGAGGACATTTACTCGAGATTCATCGCCGAAAGTCGCATACTTCCTACATTTTCTTCATCGAAAGGACGCCTTTTAAACGTCTCTCTAGTGACGAGCGAATGCACTACCATGGTCGAGTCTTGGTCTTGGTTTTGGCCTTGCAAAAAGCGCTGGACCGAAACCAAAATCGTAAGATCAATTTTAAGGCCGAACGTCATTCGTTACCGAATCGATTTGTTCATCATGTGAAATCAAAGGCAATCGACTCCTAAAGAAGGAAATCGTTTTCACTGATTTCCAAGTGAATAGTTCCTCGGTTAATTCCGTTTTCGTAATAAAGAGTGCTTAGGGGCTCCTTAACGTCGGATCAGCTGTTTGCGTGGAAGCTTTTGCGAGTAATAGGAAGTTTCGCTGCAGAATCGCGAATCTAAAACTATGCCAACGTAATTGTGTTAGCAGGTTATCCGAGGTGTCCGGGTTGGCAGCCTTTTCGAAATTCCGCGCGGCGTAACGTCAAAGGCTGACCGGGCTTTTTAAAAGGGGCAGTGGCTCGGAAAAGTGAGAGAAAGAACTTTGAGAGCGAAGGGAGTCCCCGGAACACCCTCGAAAGGCTTTCCCGCAAGCGCAACGTCGGCTTGCGTCCATCAGCGACGACACATTTCCTGCTTCGTCCCGTGTTTCCGCGGAAAATGTTATAAAAATGGGACAAACTGCAACGAAAATGCAGGAATGCCCAAATGGGCATCGCAAACGATCTCAAAATTTATATCCGAACTTCTATCTAAATGCACTGAGGATTGCAATTGAAAAATTTTGCATCCTGTATAACGTTGAATTGTAGGAATAGCGAATAAATTTGCATATCCAAGCTAAATAAAAAACGAAAAATTCAGAAGACATCGTAAACCTATGAGTCGATTTGAAAAATCGTAAAAGCTTCGGGAACTTGCTCATTATCTCTGAAAAATCGTAATGGAGCAAGAACGCTTTGAGAGTAAAAAAGAAGGGCGAGATGGTTGCATTATTTTTTGTACACCTGGTATGATAATAACTGTGAGACACGCGAGGAAGACCCACCCCTTTACGAGTCGAAAAGTAATAGAGTTACGCAACTAACGCACGCTATGCGGATTTCCAAGTCGTGGGGAAGTTATGAAAAAAGCTGACACCGTAACTTCGGAGTGTCATGGGTCACTCGGTGGATGGATCACCCAGTGCTGACCCGAATTTCCGTGAAATATAATTTTCACCCCGAAATTAAGTGAAATTGCAATAATGGATCCTTTTCCCCGCCGAAATTTCACGAAGTATTGGCGCCACTTTCAACCGCGCATTTTGCTTCTTTCCGGAGCGATTCTAGGGATGCCATTGAAAAACTCAAAATCGAGGAGGTATTCATTCAGGAAATCATGGATATTAACGCTTGAGATCATGTGGAAATCGTTGGAATAATCGATTCCGTGCATCCAGTTTTCAGAATAGTTTTTTAAATATTTTGACGTTTAATGTGTATAGAATGCCCCTTTCATATCTCCTTAAAATCCATAATTTCCTGAGCGAATAACTCCTCGCAAAAGTGTACAAAATACCGAAACATTTTTAATGGCGTATAATGCGATTCATAGAATCTGCACAACGCGGCAAAGTCGACGGTGTTCCGGAAGATCCCAGCTTACGAGCTTTCGAAAGTTCGCATTGCAGTCTCGATACGCCTCGCGAATCAAAGTACACGAAGGAAATTTGCGGAGTACACAAACCATCAGGCGGCACTGAAAGGAGGGCCCTCCAATTTTCAGGGTAGAGGCCGGGCCGTGTCTTTCGACCTCCGGCTTTTATGTTATTCATAGAAGAACACCTCGCCCGTGAAGAATTGCTGCTTTCCCTCGGTTTCCTCGAGAGCCCGTAATGGCCGAAATTCGACTTTGATCTAAAGGAGCTATTTTTCCCTCCTCTAAGTACGCGTCTCCATTACAGTTGACTCTCATATAACGAGGTTAATACGTCATTCGTGGTTCGTTGCACAAGTGCTCTAAAAGGCAATTCTCGACAATTATTGTTAGGAGATCGAATGCTTGAAAATTGACATTCTTACTCGTTACGTTGTTCCAACAAGTCTTGTGCATCTTTCCGGAGAAGAGTTCCAGTCCTATGATGGCGTAGATGATGATGACGAAGAGTACTAACAGGGCGATGTGCAGCAAAGGTACCATCGCCCTCAGGATTGAGTTTAGAACTACCTGGAGACCTGGAAAATGATCAGAAGACACTTATAAATTAGGTGTAGATACGCTATTTTAAAAAGATGCATCAGACAAATCATTTTGACGATGTCACCCAGCGAATCACGAAACGGCTCGATAAATTGTAGTCTTCGTACAAGATGTACAGTTTCAGATATATTCACGGCGAAGTGAATATTAATTGTATCGTGTCAATTGTTGACTCTGTCAAGGGAAAAAGAACGAAGTAGCCAGAATCGATTCGATCGCAGGTGTTTCCATGTGCCGAATTTAAACGAAAAATATGAAAGGACGGAATAAAGAGGATTAAGGGGGAAACGTATTAGCCGAGATTTTTTTCCACCTGCACACCTGCATTGTATTCTCAGGTGTTCCACAGGAGGCCCACGATTTCCTAAGTAAGCCTTGACGTCCTCCAACGAGGATCCCACTAAACACCCCGAAGCTCGGTGAGCAAACAGAAGCGAAATGGCCGGTCGGAGCTCTCTCCTGACAATTAGTTAAATTATTGTATGAAGGGGGAAACTTACTTGGCACTCCAGAAACCAGTCTTAAAGGTCGAAGAACACGAAACGCCCGAAGTGCCTTCACGTCGAATCCTTCCTTCATGAGAATCGTTAGTACCGTGCTCACCATCCTGCAAACGAGAAACAACGGAATTTCTTTACACAGCATCTACTTTAAACTCGTGGGATTCCTTAGCTAAAATCAGCTTACAAATAAATAATCTAAATTGATCTAATTCTAAATCTAAAATATATAAGACGTGTAAAAGAAGGCACGAAGATTGTCCCTTTTTCTTAGACAGATATACGTGATTAATTACATAAAACGGTTAAAAGGGTGCAAAGAGCAGGACTTCCGAACGATTCCATTTAGACGTTTCTCTCTCGGCGTACCTCCTATTTTTGTGAAATTGCACGCGAGCACCTTCGCATGCATACAATTTCGTTCAATTCGAACCACTTAGGGAGAAACGGAATTGTTTCAGCGAAGTATTGTTGAAAGTCACGAGATTTCTCTTATTTTCTAAGAGAAGTCTACGTAATTAAATGAAACATAAAGGGGTGCAAAGGGAGCCCCCAAACGACGATATTTCCGATTCTCTCTCCATGGCTCTTATTTTTGTGAAATCGTCCAAGAGTGCTTTCACACGTACACAGTTTCGTTTAATTGGAGCCACTCGGGGAGGAGCCCAATAGATTAAAAGAAGTACCGTAGGTAATAAAGAGGCTCCTTGTACAGCACATCGATAATTGATCGCTTGCTCGTTTACGAGAAGCTCCTAAGAATTCGAGTTCGACTTCTCTCGGGAATTCCGCGGGCAAAGGAGCGGCGCAAAAATGGTCGCGAATTCTCCTTGGCGAAAGGGTTGATCCGATTAAAGGGAAACCTTCGTTCCTCGGGCATACCCGAGGAGCTGATCTGCTGCGAAGTACCCTTTACACGGACCATTTCCAAGGGGTCGCCGGGGAGGGTGAGGCCTTCAATTACGTCGCCGAATACAATTTCGATGGAGCCTCGGAGGGGAAACCTATCGATCGAGCTCCGATGCCGAAGACGAGGGTTTTTTTCCACCTTCGAGGACGAACGGACGTCCTTACGAGAGGTCCTCGTCCAATCGACAAAGTGAACGATTCTTTTTGCCCGGCTTTTGGAAAACACGGCGATAGAGGAGCGAATCGATTCTTGAGGCAGACATGGCACAAAAAGCCCTTTCTTCGCCGTTTCTCTGGGAAACCTGGCACGAGGCATTAAACCTTGCAATGTGAATACAGAGACTATAAGGAAGATTCTGACGCCCGTGAAATTTTAATTTTTAAATAATTTCTTAATAGATACTTTTAAAATTTCTCATAGAAACTTAAATTTCATGTCAGGACCTTCCCTACAGCCTACATGTTCACATTGTACAGTTTTGAACGGTACACCCAGTTCGGGAAAATGTGTCATAAACGAGACTTCTTCGACGCCGGTTTCCCATCGCCTTAAGGCCTACGATTAAAGGTTCTTCTCATAAATAAGCTGAAAATTTGTCTCGGGTAAATTTCGGAAAATGGGAGAAAATGTCCAAAGTTGCCAACATTATCGGGAGCCGCGAAATCGTTACACGCGTGGCGCATAATTCGCGCAATCATTGGATAATTCGCGCAATCATTGAATAATTCGCATACCCGACCAAGCACGTGGCATTTACGCGGACAGGCCGCAAGAGCTTTAATTGCGCGAACACCGTGCGACTACGTTGTATGTAAATGTCTGGTCGTTCAATTAACAAGCCGCGAGAGAAGTATCGAAACACATTAACGGCGTGGTTTAAGCCGAACACTTATAATCGTTAAACGGCAGGATCAAGGAATTCCGCGTCTCGGGGCAAACGAGGGGTGATTATTCGCTACTCACCCGATAACGACTATCGTAAAATCGAGGAGGTTCCAGCCGTTGCGCAGATATGCGCCCGGGTGGGCAACGAAACCATAAGCGATGATCTTCATGACGCACTCCACGGTGAAGATGACCAGGAAGATGTACTCGATCTTTTCCTGGAACGGAGACAAATCGATAGAGGAGCCGACTTCTCGGGCCCGGCTCTTCCATCAGGTGTTTCGCAGAGATGTACGAGGTCGGGTAAGGTTGGAAGGAAAGCGATTCGTTACCGTCGACCTCGAGTCGACCAAAAATTGCCCCGACCAGCAGGTGCCTGGATCGGGAAACTCGGTAGAGCTTTGCGCCAAGTACGTTGAAAAGCATGCGCGTACGGTACCGAATACTTAAACCTTTTAGTGTCGAACAACGATACATCGTCGTTTTACAAGTGCTAACGACTTCGGCCGGCACTAAAAGGATTGACGCCAAGTTCGTTATTTCGGTTTCATAGAAATTACGGCGCGTTCGTCTCCTAATTTGCCCATTTTTTCGCGAGTTTCCTGCCGCCAATGAAAAATTTGGAAATGTCAGAAAATTAATGGAGCAGAGAATATGTCTGCTTCACAATTACGGAAATCTTCTTCGTTTCGGGCATTCAAAATTATTCTTTTGAAGTTAAGCGGCTTAATTCCGGGCGTTTCGAGACTGCCTGAAAACCGTGGAAGTGGAAACGGAAATTTTTCAAGTCGCAAAAATAGTATCAAATTCTTGAACAAACGTTTTGTCTAAGTTAGAGTTTATGATGTCTAGTCGATGGTCGGGATCTTGAAACGGAAATTATTTAAAGACTAAAAACGTATCAAAGTCCATGTATAAGAGTTTAGGAGGGCGGGCTAAAGTTAATTCGTTTAATTCTAATTCCTGGCGCGATTATCCTCCCTCTTTGTCGTAGGTACCGCACGAAAGGTCTTATCTCGACCTTAAGACCCTTATCTCCTTGGTCCCGAGAGCTCCTTGCGAATACTCGATTCCGCCCACTTGGCCATCGCCTCCAGCGGTTCCGTTTTCCGGCGCTGCGGCCGCAATTTGGGAAAACGCGAAAACGCGATTTCATTGCTCCGCGGAAGCGCGACATCCCGTAAGTGGAGGAATCGCCTAACTCATTTCTCCATGAAGGTGAATCGCATTGAAAGTTCGCCCTGGGGTTCCCGAGTCGAGGAATTTCTGCTCGGGCTGCGTGCTAAGTGTTTGTCGCGCCGGAACGAAATTCGATTACACGCCCCATTATGCGATTACGAAGGGTAACTTCTTAGCTTAACGAGAGTTTCCGCTTATTTTTTACTCCTCCACCCACGGAAGGCTCGATAAACGAGGAGTTCGCTTCGGAGACCGCAAGTTCGGGTTAAAGTCTCGCGAAAGTTTAGGCGCTGCCCTCTAACGGGGGTGTCGAACCAAGGGAACATCTTTTTCAAGGGGGAAAAATTGAATAATCGTGACGAACATTGAAAAGTAGACGTAAGAAGCTCAGCTTGGAAAAATTCCTTTCCTCTCGGTGGAAGGTTTGAGGTAGAGGTGAATCTTTCTACGATCGTTAGTATTTTCCGATTCTCGTGTTTCAATTGATTAAACGTCTCCTTAGAGTCCTAAATGGAAGAGGGAAAATTAGATTCGGTATGAAATGCGGCCTGCGAAAGTTTATGCCCTCAAACGGGGAACTAAGCCGAGGAGATATCTTTTTCTAGAGGAGAAATTCAATTTCCCCTTGCTGGAAGTTTCAAGATACAGGGGGATCTTTCTCCCATCGTTAGCGCTTTTCGATCCTCGTGCTTCGATTGGTTAAACGTCTCCATAGAGCCCTAAACGGTGGAGGGCGAATTGGATGCAGCAGGGAATGCGGTCCGCTGGAGTAGTTAGCGGTCCATTCCCGTCACGAATTCGCCATCATCCATTATAACGGACCTCCGAAGGGTCCGGACAAGTATGACACGGAAGAGCAACCTAATTCATGAATAAAACATTCCCTGGTAAAAATGAAAGCCAGTCGAGGCTCGGCGACATCGGGGATCATTAATTCGGAGCTTCACCCGGCAGGGAGTCAACACCCTAGGAGGGACCATCTTTCAGGGTGAGGGTCGAATGCCCTCTTTGTACCATCTTTGGTACAACTCGTGTATCATTTCCCAACCGATTAACTGCTGCCCCGAAGACGCATACGCTAAGCACGCGGGAAATACTTGAAAAAGTATTTAATGCACCCCTTTTTTATGTATATCTACGCACTCGCGCAAGGGGCCATTCACTCGGAAATCAGGGAAAACGACGAGGGGTTATTCACACGTGTAATCATGGATTTTAATGCTGGAAATTGCGAGCAGAAATCACTAGATATTCCTGAAAATCGTTGGAAATCCCGGACACATTTTCACAATTTTAAGCCCGACTGTCCCTTGTTACCGAATCGTATCGTTGTTTATCGTATGAAATCAAAGGCAACTGGTTCTCAAAGAAGGAAATCGTTTTAACTGATTTCTAAGTGAATGAAAACACCTTAGCTTACCGAAGCAAACGATTTCGATCGAGTGAACGAAAGTTCGATCCACTCGACTAAACCGCTTTCTGAAATTCAACCAAGTAGATCGTGCGATCGTACATTACATGAATACGATTTACAAGTGCAGTCGGTAAACGATATTTTCCAACGGATAAATCTTTTCGGCGAGTTCGAAGGGCACAAGAGAGAAGAAGGGAAAGCCCGGACGAGGAGCAACGTCCGCAAAAAAGCGGCTAAAAATGGAGACCAAACCAGAGCTCCGGAACAGAGGAATCATCGACGGGGAGTTCGCGGAGCAGAAAGTTACCCCCTGAGGAGGGGGTCGAGGGTCAAAGGGGTTTCGCGCGCTCGCGTTTGATTTCCCGATCGATTGGCTATTGGCCCGGCAGAATTGGGAGCCGATCGAACGTCCCGTAAGCTCGGGCCATTATGTCGATGCCCGTGTTCACCGGCAGGAAACGAACTCGATGTGCCTGGGCCGAAGTGTTGGCCACCGCCGGAAACATGTACCGGACACGTGCGAGTACATGCCCGATCCGAGTACATTGGGACACGAGTACCCGGGTACACCCAGCCACGTGTCCTCGTACGTGCGCGACCGTCTCCTGGGCCTGGAAGATTGAACAATTATTGAACTTTCGGCTCGAGTAAGTTTCGGCCCGCTGGTCCATCGACTCGCCATCCGGTCCTCCTCGTGGCCTCCTATCGAGGGAAATCGATATATGAATATCGTTGCCGATCCTTCGACGTACCCGGAGAAAAAGAGCTGGTAAACTAAACGGCTTGACACCGTTGAAGTCATTTTTGTTAAAGGAACGCAATTTGTCCTTTGATTTACTGTAAATTCGTATTTTTTAATAGCTGAGCATCGTACTGGCTTTTGTACGAAAATAATTGTTAATAATACTATCCGGGCATATAAAATATACGATGATATGCCAGTTTCGTTAACAGTAATTAAGTGAAATTTTACGACGTAAATCGTAAAAAGTTTTGTTATTCTTCCTAGGAAAATGTAGTAAACGTAGGATAGTTCATTTTACTCCTCTCAAAAGATAAAAAAGTACAGTAACCGTTCCTAGATTTTCTGGTTCAGAAAAAGATGTTAATTTTACTATAAAACGTATCCGAGTCCTTTTTGAACTGTGAAAACCAGTTAAAAAATATTTAGTTTAACTAGATTATTCTCAGGGTGTGGGCTCTTATCGGGAGAAATCGATGGATGAATATCATCGTCGATAATTCGACATATCGGCTGAAAGCGACGAAGAAGGCGCTTCGACAGGGTCGAGACGACCGGGGTGGATCTCCTGTGGTATCGATCCTTACGCAAGGGAGGGCACCTTTTGCGTCCTTATTTCGAGCAAATCCTTTATTATTAATCGCATCGGACAATCTGCCTCGAGTAATGGGCTTTGGGGGATACGCGCGATACGTGATCCGGGTCTTTCGTTTCGGGGGTTTCACAAAGGTTTCGAAGAAATTTCACCGGGGGTGGATTCGGATTTTACCTGAGTCGCCGAAATTTGCGGATCCTCCGGGGAGGGCGGAGATCCGTGTCCTATTCGCGGAACAAAAATTTGGTTCGTTGGACGCGATTGTTTGATCGACTGCATTTGGTTTACTTCAATAAATATTTGGTCGAGTGAAACGAATTTTCGTTCACTTGACTTGACTCGTTTGCCCCCGATCTATCAAAATGGTTTGATTAAATCGCTTGGCAAATATTAGGAAATACTTTAGTCGGTAAACCAAATATTTTGATTAAATGTGTCAAATTGCTTTAATATTTTGGCTTATCTACCGCAATATTTAATGTAACCAACCAGAAGTTATGAAATAATGAGTTTATCACGAAAACCAAACATCTGGTTGTCTATACATTCCCATTCTACGGTTGAATCAAGAAAAATGATATCGATTCACCAAATATTTTTCTATGAGTAGGTATTAGTGCGTAATGTCAGCACTTCTTTTTATTTTCGTCATTTCGGACTAGAACCATCTTTTCTGCGGTTTTCAAGCATGGGAGCTATTTTCCCCGATTTCATTCTACTATCGCAATTCTTTTTTCTACGGGGTCGCATTAGGAGTTGTCGACGTAAGGGACTAATATCCGTTCTATGTTTTACGTGTCCCACGATGGAATTGCGCGGTTCAGAGGTACAATAATTCACGGTAGATTGTTCCCCATTTGATAAACGCTGCCATCGATGCTCGACTTTTCTGCTGCTGCGGCAATTTTTGGTCGAGCGGGTAAGGAATTTATTTGGAGCCGGGTAAAGGCTGCGTTATTTATTGACCGCGTTTTACCCACTGCAGATGAGCGAAAATGGGCGATAATTGCTGCACAGGATCCTCTCGATTTTTAGTACGCCGATAGGCGTCAACTTTGTTCCGAAGAGTGACATGCTGCATTACATCGCATTGTTCGTATACGTACAACACCGTTCATATAAATTTGACAATCGGTGAAATTCGACATATATACGAGCGGTCCTGTACATCAAGATACTCGGGAGAGTTTCGCGCGAAATACATACGTAAGCTCGAAATTTATACCCGCGAAACGCTCATCTAGATTTTATCTACAAAGTTTAGCGCGGTATAATTAAACCAGATATTTAACGTAATAATTTATGGCTTACCAAGTAGTGGTTCGTCTGATTGGAGTCCAGAAAAGGATAGGGCGTGTAGACTGCCAGGGCCACACAGTTGGCGAAGATCGTCATCAGGATGAGCCATTCGAACGGTCTGTCGGTGGGAGTTAAGGAACATGGATACCGCGACGCGATTACCTCATCTTCGGGTTTAATTCTATGCACGGCGGGCTGGAAAACATGGCGCAGTGCCATAGATATTCTTAAGCCGTGCTGGACCGAACGGAAAGAAACTATTCATCATCCCTGGCCGTCGAATACGGTCCTTTGGAACCATTCCTGAAGAGACCCCTTGACCTGCATTCGAGGTCCTGGGCTTTCGACGAGGGTTGCGTTCGAGGATGTTCGAGATGGTCGAGGTGCAGGGACGAGCAAATGCAAAACACTGTGACCAAGCCACGATGGTCTTAGACTTGGTCGTGCATCCTAAAGTCTTGATCTTGGTCTTGCAGAAAGTGCATTACCAAAATCAAGACCGGACCATAATTGCAAGACCAAGACTCGCGAGTACAGAGGCAAAGGATACTTCCACTCGACGACGCCGATGCACATCTTGCGCACGGGGTTCTTGAGCGGCAGGCAGAAGAGGGCCCTGAGGGGGCGGTCGGGAGGCGGCTTGCCGCCGCGGCGGGCGGACCGCTTCTGCGGCTGCGCCTTGGCGGCCGCGGTCCCGGTCCCTGGGCCCGCGGAGGGGGGCGCCGCCTGGCCCTGTTCGGTGGTGGGGGTCGCGGCCGTGGCTCGGGCCCCTGCCCCCGTGGCGGGGCCCAACGCCTCGCCGCCATCCCCCGTGCTCATCGGTCGCTGCCGCTGCTGTCGAGCTCCGTTCTCCTCGAGCGCTTCCGGCGAGGTTGCCGTCTTAAGGAGGGTCCAGGCGGATTCGCAGTCGCGCGACTCCTGGAGCTGGCTGGCATGCTATGGCGAGGTTCTTCTCGGCTTGAACCTGAAACAACGAGGGCAAGGATTAGACAGACCGTAGGGAATTTTCACCTGGGATAAACCTCAAGGATTTCGAGGACGATTCGAGAATTGGTCGAGTCTGTCTCGTTTGCGCTTCGAGTTTCGCGCCGGGTACATTGAAAAGCAGATCGATAACTTCGACTCGGGTTGTAGCCTTTATTGTCCGCGAACCGACAATGGAGATAAAATAAAGCGCATATTAACTCTTTAATTACGGAACATGCCTATTGTGGCTTCCGCGTGAGTGACGTTTTTTTACGAAGCTCGACTGTAGAGGCTCCCTTCGTTTCTATGTATTCAAAGCGACAAATGAATATCGTATTCGCATAAAACGTTAACCCTCCAAGCTATCCGTACAGGTGATACATCTTCACGTTCGACTCTGTCGTGGTTAGAGGATTAAATTAATGTATCTGTAGCAGCGGATAAAAACGGAGTGGCTCGTGGATATGACTCCTGAATTCCATCGTCGGGAAGGCCGATTAAAAGGTCTGCGAGGCGTTTTACCGATGGCGAAGGCGACGCTTTTAATGAGGGTAAAACGTAGGGTGGACTTGGTCGGCGACTGTCAGTACAGCGGGAAATCTGGTTACCTCGGGTGATACGCGTTTTGACGTGGCAGTGGTTTAACGCCGGGTTAGCTAAACCTGATTATATACTTCGCTCTCTCTCCCCGAGTCCGTGGAATAGTTTCGTAATTTCCGCAAAGTCGATCCCTTGCGGCGCGATGACCCGGACCGGAAGTGCCGCGCAAGAATAATGACTAATTACCACCGAAAAGCGGGGATGACGCTTTTTGGGAAGCTCGTCAAAGAAGAGGACATCGGGATTTTGGACAGGACGGATTTTTCATTTTTATAGGCGAAGTCCTGGAAAATTTCTGATTTTTCTTTCTCGCAGAGGACTTTTTTGGCTCATAAGGAAGTAACGTCGACTGCGTTACAAGTCCTGGCGAAGGTCGAATCTCAGATTCCCTTTCATGACAGAAGGAAACCATCCGGCTCTAATTGGGCGCTCTCGAATATGCAACACCCTGTGGGTGCAACTTCGAGGGAGGCCTAAAGCTTTCCGGGATCCGTGGAGCGTGTCTTCCAAATCAGGACTTCGGGACTTTGCTGGCCTGCCGATGAATATTTATGGCTCCTGGCAAAGGACCACGTAGTTCGTCTTTGGGCTCCGTTAACTACGTTCCGATTAACTTCCAACCTTAGATTGGTTCCGGGACTTCGATTGTCGTTCTCGAGTCTTTTCCAGGATGTCCCTTCTCGGTAATCGACGAGGTCGTTGCATTCATTTCCTCCTACACTCTTTTAACTTCACGTAATTCGTTACGAAATAATTCCAGCGGTTCGTATAATTGTCGAGTAAGATAATCCAATAGAAGTCAAACTTTACGATTGAGAAATGGTTGTTAATAATTCGATATTCAAGAGGAAGGGGCTTCACGGATACCCGTTATCGAGGTAATCTCATTTCAAGGACCAATTTTCCACCGCAACGAAACGATTTATCCCCCTTCGATAACGCATCGACGAACAGGCAATCGCAGACAATTGTCTCTTTCCATAATAAATCCGCTGGGTCTATTTCGGAATTCGGCCGGTCCCTAAACAATGTGTAATTGCGAAACTTGGTGTAATTGTCTATGCGCTCAGAGGGGACGCGTCCCGGAGCGCTAATAAATCTCTCGGCCTATCTCTCTCTCCGTCCCACCTACGTCGGCCAGATCGCCTCGTCTCTCTCCTTCTTCCTCGGCGGCCGAGTTTTCGCGCGTTGGCGAAGGCGCGGAATTTCTGCTCGCGCTTACGTGTCCCGCTCAAGGACTCCTTGGATTTTAAGACCTACGTGAAACGCGTCCGCCGATGCGTTTCTGGGTTACCGGCGTTCCTCGGAGGGAGAGAGAGAGGGACGATCGGGAGTAACCCCGAACGTGCAAACTTTTGCGCTCCGTCTAATAAAGATGCACCCTGGACTGGGTTTACGAGGCCGAACTTGGCCCGATGGCCAGCCACATACCAGTGAAGTTTGCCCCGACCGAAGTGCCGCAGTAGAAACTTCACCGATTGAGTCAGACGAACGTTGCCCTGCGGAAACAATCGCGCAGCTTCCTTAATAGGACGGAATAATTTTTTAATATTTTCCCTGTAATCTTTGCTAAATATCATATCACATGTTACCAAATCGCATTGTTGTCTATCATATGAAATCGAAGACAATCGGTTCTCGGAAACGGAAATTGTTGTCACTGATTTCCGAGTGAACAGTCCCTCGCCTTCGACGGCGCACGTGGTGTCATCGATACGGCGTCACTTAATGTAATTGTCGACGATATAAGCGATTTCCGAAGGAACTCTGCACTCTCTTGGAGAATTCTTTGCGAGAAATTCGCATCAGCGACGTCGCTTCGTGGCTGGCAATCTTCCAGAGATCCGGCGAGGGAGCAGGTGCAACGTCTCCCCCGCAACGTTGTTGCCGCGACTCGAGCCAGGGAGTCGCTGAAGCAAGCAAAGAGGATGTACGCGTCCTTGTGAGACCCTCTTTTCCATCGCTAAGTAGTTACTACTCCGTAAGTCTGACTCAGCTAGGAGCTAGTCGTCACCGAATGGCCGCGGTTTATAAATAGGTCCCTCAAAATCAGTGAAACGTCCGTCAGCCTCGGTTATCAAATCCGCGGATTTGGACCAGCGACGAGGCGGAATGTCAACGCCGAAGAAGCGGGTCAAGAATAGGAATTGTTGGAGGGCCGCAACAAGTGACCGAGCTGGAATTCGAGACGATGCCAAAGGATAATCCCTTATCTTGCGATACTCGAGGCAGAAGTTATCGATTTCGGCTGAACCTCTATTCATTTGATCGTTTAGTTCGTCAACAGAAATTTCAGTCTCGTTCGGTTTATTAGAGACCTGAAAAGTTGCACTCACGAGGCTTATGAGGTCAAAATTGTCGGATCGTTTGAAGCAAAAATCAGGGAACTTTGCTTCAAACGGGAGTGCGGAAGAATCCACGGTCTTATTTCGCGGCGATGTTCCCGGGAAATCCTCAAGAGAGAGGAGAGGCACCGGATACACCTGATCGAAGAGAGACTGCCTCGATTGGACGATTCCTGAGGTCGTTCAATAGGAGTTCCCATTTCCGGTCAGAAGGCGGTTCGGGATCCGGCATTAACTCGCCGGCTAATGGCGGATCGTGGCGAAACTCGATCCCGTATTGTTACGGATCCGATGTGTACCAATTTTACCCCGGGCCCAATTCGAGGATATATTAAAGCCGTGTTCGACGAACGCTTCGGCACCCTCAGATCGAATATAAGTTTTATAAACGAGACCTCTGACAGCCCTCTTACATCCTCTTAATCAACAATGAATTCTGCGGCACCGTTGTTCACTTCTTGCCACCTCCCAGCAATTTCATATCAGCAGACAATTGTTTCTAAAAAAAAAAAAAAAAAAAAACAACTGGCTGCAAGGAAGTTTATCCGCGAACTTATGGAACGACCCAATAGAGTTAGCAGTTCGACTCGAGTATTACGTCGTGCCCTTTATCGAACCAAACCTAACTTCGACGGCGAAAAGAGGGCGTCCGTCGAGTGGACGGCAGACGTTCGACATTCGGCGTCTAGAGGCGTCGCGACGGCGCGTTTCGCAGGGCTCTCGGCTGGGATTCGGGCGAGCGATTCGAGAAGTGGAGGTCCGCTATATTTAGTGAGCCTAAATACTAGCGAGCCTCTCTCTCCCTCGCTCTTTCTCCCTTTTCCTTCGCGCCTTCTCCTTCTCTCGCCGCCTGGCGCGTCGAGCGCCGTGGCCCGAGTGAACTTGACGAAAATGGAACTCGCTTATCGGCGATAACCGATTCGCCAGGGCTCACTTGGCCGCCATGACACCGACCAACCCAGAGTTCTAGATGCGGTCACCAGGGATGAGCAAAATCGGTCTTGATCTTACAAGCTTGGTCTGTGCCTTACAAAAAGTGCAAGACCAAGATCACGATAGTCTGCATTTGCTCGTCACTAGTCGCTATCCGGGGGGAGGGTGAATTTAATTATGCACGCACCGAGTCGGGGGAAAATGAAGGAACGACTCGTCCTCGTTAATTCCGTGAAACGTTTCATCCTGGGAACCAAATGAGGAAAATTCTGGCTTACTTCGTGGACCGTCATGACTTCCATCATGATCGAGTCGAAATTATCGATCTCGGTTGCGCCTCTGAATCCTCTATTCTTTTGATCACCCATTTTGCCGATAGAAATCGCAGTCTCATTTAGTTCACTAGGAACCTCAGGGTTCAATTTTCTGAATAGAACCTCGAATTAGAAATATAGGTTCGTAAATATGTAAAACGTAATAAAACAGTTTATGATAATAGCCGAGATTACTCGAGAGTGATTATGAAATAATAATCTATACCAATCGCTGATTAATTCAGCGAAATTGACATGGACGCTTCTTCACCCTTCGCGTTGATAAAGTACCAAATGAGCATGATTTCTATGACGTCGTCGAAGTAATCGAATGTCAGTGCCGGTACAATGGCTCCCTGTAAATGGGATCATTGTGCCGTAACCGAATGCACCAGTGATTATATATTTACGTATGACGTATCGGAAAGCCATTAATCACGAGAACTTGTCACCAGGGAGATGCATAAAGCGGTCTCATCGAATAATTCATGACCCTTGATAGATCGAAGCCTCAAGGAAGAATAAGTCGGTACGAAATTTTCAATTTCGCATTATTGCGAAGTCGCTTTGTTGGTCAACGTTTAAAAGTCGTACGTGAAATCAATATCGCATGTGAGTTGACCGTATGAACTCGAGAATAGGGTCCCTGAAGAGTTTCCAA